TCCTAAAAACTGAGCTGCTAGACCCTCATACACTGAAAAACTATGGGAGAATCTTATCTCTCTCTCTTTATATATGTAGTACACAATAAAATCCCAAATTACCTCATATTGGGAATAGACCTATTTCAACCAACGAAAACTTTGTCAGTCTTATTCAACTCCAGTAATATATATATATATATATATATATATATTTTTTTTTTAATAAACTTGTCTTTGATTTAACTTATCTTTAAAGTTAAAATTTTTTCTTATGTATATTTATTTTATCTTATATTTTTTATTGTTAAATATTTTAAAAAATATTTTTTATTCTTTAATATAACTAATTTTTTTTATTAATTATAAATTTTCAAAAAATATAATCTTACTTAATTTTAATATAAATTATCTAAATATAAGTTATTTTTAATTTATTAAATATATCTCATTTTAAAGTATAATTTATCTTTGAAAGGCTATTTTTAAGAAAGAATTTATATTTTTAAACTTAACCTTATCTACATAAATTAAAAAAAACCTTTTCATTACTCTCTTAGTTTCAAATTAACTCTTCATTCTTCATATAAACCCAATTTAATATCATAAGGTTAATGTCTGGGCTTAATTTTGTAAAACCTCTTCCCTTTAAGGCTAATACCTTCATCCCCACTCCTAACTACTGTCTCATGCTTTTCGTCTGACTGAAACATTGAAATGGATAAATTCTGTATTAATTTTTTGACAGCTGTCACAGTTAAATTTCTAATTCTGACAGAAACTCATTCTATATACCAAGGTTGAATAAGACTGACAAAGTTTTTGTCGGTTGAAATAGGTCTATTCCCAATATCAGGTAATTTTGGATTTTATTGTGTACTACAATTGCTCTGTAATAATAAATACATTGAGCTCTTTTTGTGGATCATTTTTAATATTTTATATTACTAGGATCAATGGATTATTACCTTTACTATATATATATATATATATATATATATATATATATATATATTGTGTATTTGGGCAGCAGTCCTTCTTTTATACAAGTTTCATTAAAGACAACTGACAAGCTACAAGCTACTGTGATTAAGCTTTTAAGCTTTTTATTTTATTTTTCTTGTGTTTGCACAAGTGTTTACTTTTCTGGACATAAAGTGTGTAAAAATTTTACAAATGTTCTGTATATCCAAGTTCTTTTGGCTAGTCGATTTGCTCTTTCAATGCTGTTTTTCATTTTTTATTTTTAATTGAATGTGTAGATTATTATACATTTCTCTAGAGTGATGCGAATGTTTTTTTATATTACAAACATAGTCAGCACATGTCTTTATAATGTTTCTCTGAAAAATATTATAAAAAAATGCACAACACCAGTTGACCTGAACAAGACAATTAAATTGTCTACTATGAAAAGTTTAAAATAGCTCATCTTATTGCCAACAACTCATCTGCGAGATCTAAATTACAGAGAATTAATATTATTTATGAATTCCCATATCCTTTAAGGAACTGCATTCCTGATCAAACCAAATTCATGAATAATTATATTGGTCATACCACTACATACTTATCAAGAAGACTAATGTTACATCTCTCTGACCATAGCTCAATTAGGCCTCATTTAAACACACAGAAACCGAGCAAACTCCATCCACAACACACTTGAAGAAAATACATGTATAATTGCCTCATCAAAATGTAAAAAAAGACTAAAAAATAATGGAAGTACTAATAATAAAAAAGAAAAAACCAACACTCAATAACATCAGCCATGAACATGGCCATAGTGTGCTGACCGTGTTTGGAAAATAAAAAACATTCCTATCACTCTATAAACATATATAAAAATTCACATATTCAATTAAATATTCAATTAAATATAAAAAAAATCCTTGATAGTGGCTTATAGAATAGGTGAAAGCACATAGAAGACTGGACAATTTTACACAGTTTATGTCTATCAAAGAAAAACATTTATACAAACACAAGAAAAATAAAATAAAAAAGCTTAAATGCAGTACCTTGTCAGTAATCGTTAATGAAACTTGTGTGTGTCTATATATATATATATATGTAAGCAAATATATGGATATAGATCCGACAGTATGAAGAAAAATATACGGAAAAAACAAACAAAAATCCTTATATGCAATTATGCTGTTTTAATGTTAATATAATGTCAACATCGGACGTTTCGGTCTAATGTTAATTATATTTTATGAATATGTCCTGAAGATGGTTTATTAGACCGAAACGTCCGACGTTGACATTATATTAACATTGAAACAGCATAATTGCATATTAAAATTTTGTTTGTTTTTTCCAGATATTTTTTCTTTCATATATATATATATATATACACATCATATTAAAAAACAAAGAAATGAAAACGCAATTTCATTTCTTTGATTTTTAATGTGTGTGTCTATATATATATATATATATATATATATATATATATATATATGCATATGTCTTTATATGTGTGTGTATATATATATATATATATATATATATATAAAGAAAGAACAGTAAGATATATAATCCGGTGTTCTTATAGATATTTTTATTTTTACAAAATAGTGCTCAATGTAAATTTACAGAGCATTATTTATCTGTAACTTTGGAAACATGAATTTTGTTTTAGCTGTGTATTTAAAACCCAGTAATTTTAAAAGTTACTCCAAAATTCGCTTGAGGATGAAATGGAACTAATGTCTTTAATTTAATCACAAAATTAAATTCAGGGCTTTTTAGCTTCCATTTTTGAAACATGGTTAGAACTATGTAGCAAAAAAACATATTTTAAATCAATTAATTTATATATATATATATATATATATATATATATATATATATATATATATATAGAGAGAGAGAGAGAGAGAGATAGATAGATAGATAAATAGATAGATAGATACACACATATTAAAAATCAAAGAAATGAAACTGCGTTTTTTTGTAGACCTTTGCAAATTTTTTCTGTAAGTAATGGTAATTTTATAAAATGAAACTAACATATTTATATTTGATCATAAACAAAATAGTTTATGAATACATAAGTAGATTCTAATATATTAATTTTAGCATTACCATATATGTACTCAGTAAATAAATTAAATATGATATCTTAAGTTGGTAGGAATAAAAATAAAAATATAAATATTAAAAATGTGACTAAATAATATTTGAATGCCCGTTTTGAAAAAATTGTAATTGAAATTTATATAAAAATAAAAATTAAATAAAAGATTAAAAATAAAAATGCCAAATGTATTGCTATTGAAACCCAGATGATGTGTTGGAACAGAGACAGTGCCTGAAATTTTTACTTGAGAAAAAAAAGGAAGGTTGTGTCAATAGACAGATACCCCAGTCCCAACTTTGACTTGACTGACTTAATAGCTACAATACATTAGATACATGAGTTTTTTTTTTAATTTTAACACCCTTAAAATAAAAAAGATTAAATTTTCCTTAACTCCAACATCTCTAAATATCAAGTTTGTCTGGACTTATAAATTAAGTAAATCAATTTCTAAAAAGTTATTCTTAGCATCACTTAAAAATGAAACAAAACTTTTGTTTTTATTTTTTTTTTTTTTATGTTTAATTTTTATGATTAAATTTAAATTGAAGTTTCAGTTTTGAAACATGGAATTTTCTATGTCATGATGGTAATATATTTTTAAAAAACAATTATAATATATATATATATTAATAAATATACTTATGTTTGTAGTGCAACTTAAAGTTTCATGGTTTAACAACTTGTCAGGCACATATGGCAATTGAGCCGCTTATTACAGTTGTTTTTTTTTAAATAATGGGTATCATGGGTGGAAAACTAAATTATACCCTGAAATCTGAAAATTGATATATACCCAATATATTATTGGGGTATAAATTCAAAATATAGAGTGTATAGAAGGAGATATTGGGAAAAACAAAGCAAAAAAAAAAAAGAATGATGTAAGCTTAAAGTTTATATGGTACATGTTTTTATGTTGCAGGGGAAAAACTCATTATTTAGTTTATATTCACACTTATATCTATCTATGTGTGTGTGTGTGTGTGTGTGTGTATATATATATATATATATATATATACACACACACACACACACACATTCTTTTATTAAAATTCCTAGAAGTCCTATCAGCACTGACCTTTACAACTGGGACTTGCCGTGCTACATACAAAAGGTTGAATCATCCCCATTCCCTTCATATTTCAATCATAAGAAGTAAGTTCCATTTAGATAGCTTCTTCCCAAGAACTGTTTTTCCAATTTTTGGAACAGATTTCCAGCAGGATGTTTTCCCGTTTACGACAATCTTACCCTTTTCAAATCTACAGTTAACTATTATCTTTCCTGCATAGCCCCTTGAACTTCACTTCATTCATAAAACACCATACAGTAACTCTCTACCTTGACTGGCTCTTTGGCATATATGTGGGTGTGTGTATATAATGTTAATCAATAAAATTTGCAATTAATGTAAGGATGCTAATTATATTTTAAAAAGTAATGAACTATATACTTTTATCTTACTGTGCAAAGATTTAAGAATTTGGTGGGTAAATTTTTTTCACATCAATTTGATTTTGCTGTATTGTTTATTTTTTTATTTCTTCGATGTCAGTTAGAAAGTCACAAAAATCTTTTGCTTCACCTGGCATTTGTCAATTGATGTTTATTTTTTGTCTTCATTCTTTTTCCCTGTTTCATTTCATTATTTCCCTGGTTCTTTCCAAATCTTTTTTCCTCCATTTTATTTTCATGTTTCATCTGCATTCTTCTTGCCTTTTTCATTTCTCTCTTTCCATGCTTCTTTCATAATCTTTTTCTTCCATTTTATTTTCATGTTTCATCTGCATTCTTCTTGCCTTTTTCATTTCTCTTTTTTTCTTTCATAATCTTCCATTTTATTTTCATGTTTCATCTGCATTCTTCTTGCCTTTTCATTTCTCTCTTTCCATTTCTTTCATAATCTTTTTTCTTCCATTTTATTTTCATGTTTCATCTGCATTCTTCTTGCATTTCATTTCTCTTTCCATGCTTCTTTCATAATCTTTTTTCTTCCATTTTATTTTCATGTTTCATCTGCATTCTTCTTTGCCTTTTCATTTCTCCTTGCCATGCTTCTTTCATAATTTTTTTCTTCCATTTTATTTTCATGTTTTCATCTGCATTCTTTTGCCTTTCATTTTTCTTCCATTTCTTTCATAATCTTTTCTTCCATTTTATTTTTGTTTCATCTGCATTTTCTTGCCTTTTTTTTCTCTCTTTCCATGCTTTTCATAATTTTTTTCATTTTATTTTCTGTTTCATCTGCATTCTTCTTGCCTTTTTCATTTCTCTCTTTCCATGCTTCTTTCATAATTTTTTCTTCCATTTTATTTTCATGTTTGCATTCTCATTTTCATTTTCTCTTTTCCATTTTTTCATTTTTCTTCCATTTTATTTTCATGTTTCATCTGCATTCTTCTTTTTTCATAATTTTTTCTTCCATTTTTTTATTTTCATTTTCATGTTTCATTTTATTTTGCATCTCTTCTTCTTGCCTTTTTCATTTCTCTCTTCCATGCTTTCTTCTTTTTTCATAATTTTTTTTTCTTCCATTTTATTTTCATGTTTTTTCTTTTCATCTGCATTCTTCTTGCCTTTTTCATTTCTCTCTTTCCATGCTTCTCTTTTTCTTCCATTTTATTTTCATTTTCATCTGCATTCTTTTCTTGCCTTTTCATTTTCTCTTTTCCATGCTTCTTTCATAATTTTTTTCCCATTTTATTTTCATGTTTCATCTGCATTCTTTTTTTTTCATTTCTCTCTTTCCATGCTTTTATTTCATAATTTTTTTCTTCCATTTTATTTTTCATGTTTCATCTGCATTCTTTTTTTTCTTCCATTTTTATTTTCATGTTTTCTGCATTTTCTTGCTTTTTCATTTCCATGCTTCTTTCATAATTTTTTTCTTTTATTTTCATGTTTCATCTGCAATCCTTTTCATTTCTCCTTTCCATTTTTTTCATTTTTTTTTCTTCCATTTTTATTTTCATGTTTCATCTGCATTTTCTTTTTTTCATTTCTCTCTGTTCTTCTTCCCATTTTATTTTCATGTTTCATCTGCATTCTTCTTGCCTTTTTCATTTCTCTCTTTCCATGCTTCTTTCATAATTTTTTTCTTCCATTTTATTTTCATGTTTCATCTGCATTCTTCTTGCCTTTTTCATTTCTCTCTTTCCATGCTTCTTTCATAATTTTTTTCTTCCATTTTATTTTCATGTTTCTTCATTTTCTTGCCTTTTTCATTTCTCTCTTTCCATGCTTCTTTTCATAATTTTTTTTCTTCCATTTTATTTTCATGTTTCCTGCATTCTTCATTTCTCTTTTTCTTTCATAATTTTTTTTCTTCCATTTTATTTTCATGTTTCATCTGCATTCTTCTTGCCTTTTTTCATTTCTCTCTTTCCATGCTTCTTTTCTTTTTTTTCCCATTTTATTTTCATTTTCATTTTTTCTTGCCTTTTTCCTTTTTTCCATGCATAATCTTTTTCTTCCATTTTATTTTTGTTTTTCTCCTTAATCAGTTTCTCTTCCAACTATTTTCTTCATTTTATTTTCACTTTTCTTTTGTATTTTTAATCCTGCTTCAGTTCTCTTTTTTATACCTCTTTCTGAATCTTTTTCCTTCATTTTATTTTCATTTTCCTTTTGCATTCTTTCTCCTACATCATTTCTATCCTTACCTGTCTCTTTCCTAATCACTTCCAAAACTTCTTCATTCATTTAATTTTCTTTTTCTTAATTCTTTTTTCCCTGCTTCATCTCTCTTGTCCTCTGCCAATTTCCAAATCTTTTTCCTTCATTTTATTTTTTTTCCTTTTGTATTCTTCTTCCTCTATCATTTCTCACTTTCTCTGCCTCTTTCTCAAAACTTCTTTATTCATTTAATTTTCTTTTTCTTAATTCTTTTTTTCCCTGCTTCATCTCTCTTGTCCTCTGCCAATTTCCAAATCTTCACATTTGTTCTCTTCATTCTTTTTCTCTCTTTCTTTGCCTCTTTCCCACTGTTCTTTAACTATTTTCCTTCTTTATTCTTTTTCCCTGAATCTTCAGACTTAACTTTTTCTCAATCTTCTTACTCTTATTTAATATATTTGTCTTCTATTTCCTTTGTAGATTTTAAATTTTTACTATTTTTCTATTTCAATGTTCTTCATCTTTCTTTTCTTCTGTTCTTATCTTTTGATCATTTTTTCAACATCTTTATTTCTTTTTTTGTCAAACCATTATCTTTAAACTTTGTATTATTTTCTGCATTTTTATTTATTCTTTTCTTGATTATTCTTTTGTCTCTTCCCTCTCCTTTTTATAATAATTTCCATATTTTTCCTTTTCATAAACATTACAGCTTTTCTAGCTCTTTCCCATTTGATCAAGTTAGAGTTTCTTTTTCATTTTCTATGGTTGATTGCCTTAAATCATCTTGCTTCATTTTGATAACTGTACATAATAAAATATTCTTTATCAGACAAAAAAATTAAATGAGTTGCTCTGAAAATGGGAAAACAATGAAGAATATAACAGAAAATGTAAATCTTTAGTATATGTAAAAAGCAATACCAAATGTCTTTTTAATTTTAAGAATCAATTTACCCTGAAATTATTCATTTTTTTAAAATTTCCTTTTTTCTTATTTTCCATAAATTGTAGGTTTCAGTTTGCTTCTAAAAATGGCAACCAAAGCAGAATGAATTTGCTAATCATTGTCGATTTTTTGAATTTCTGACTGAAACAATTTGTGTTCACTTTGCATAAATACTATAAAGAAGGCATAAATCCACCTTTACAAATAAAGATTGAAGAATCAAAACATTGTTTCTTATATACAACTACAACAACTATGGCTCTTGATTCCTTGAAGAACTTAGGGCCACAACGGACATGGTTCTGGGTGATCTGCTTCAGCTCAGCCCATGTTGTGCCAGCTGCCTTCACCTCTGTGTCAACACTTCTGCACCAAGTCTGTTTTGGTCGACCCACTTTTCTTTTGTGGATTCTAGTCAAGGGCCTGCCTGGTGTCATTAGAAGCAGGCTTGTGGAGTGTGTGGCCAATCCATCCCCATTTCTGTTTCTTGATGTCAATCTCACTTTGGGCTTTTCTGGTCCTGTCTTACAGTTGGTCATTGGAGACAATTTCCCTTGTGGATTCCTGCCAAGGGCCTGCCTGGTCACACTAGAAACTGGCTTGCAGAGAGTGTGGTTGTTCCATCACTATTTCTGTTCCTTGATGTCATTCTCAATTGGGGCTTGTCTGGTTCTGTGTACAATTGGTCATTGGAGACAACTTCTGGCCACCTGATATTCAGGATGTTCGAGAGACATTGGTTGGTAAATGTCTGAAGTTTGTGCATGTTGGTCTTGGTTACCCACCAGGTTTCTGAGCCATAAAGTAGGACCAACTTGATGTTGGTGTTGAAGATCTGGATCTTGTTGTTTCTTACATGACAGATGAGAATTCTTAAAATTATACCCCAGGAGAACTTAGTTCCATAATTCTATTATAATAACCAGAATACACTTTTTAGCTTATTAAGTATATTTATTTTTATATATCTGATTTTAGTTGATGGCTGTTCCAGATTATGTTGGAAATATATGGGGAGACATTTTCATTGTTTTACGTGTTTGTGATGGGATGGATTTCTCTTTGTTACATTGCTGAATGAAATCAGTTAAGTTGAACATCTTTATAGACTGAACATCAAAAAATTAAAAATTAAAATTTCAATCTATATGTTCATGTATCTTTAAGGTTTTGACTGATTGCAATTTTAAAATTGCAACCAATGTTTGTTGTATTTCTGTACCCACTTATATAAAACTTACTAAAGCAAACATACCAAGTGTAGCAGTAAGACTATAATAAACTTGGTATGTCTATCATTTGGACAATTCTCAATTACCAAAAATTGCTCTGTATGGTGAACTAAAGTGTGATAAGTAATAGTGACATGCTCAAAGAGTGCACTATAATGACTACATCAAGAGGGACCTTAAATGAATAAGGATTAATGCAAACAACTGAGAACAGCTGGCTGTGGATCACACTTCATAGTGTTTGTCATGCCATTTATATTTCCTACACAAACTGGATGTTGAACACTCAATGAACCAAAGCAACCTTTGTAAATGTTTTCTGTACATTGGCTCCAGACATACATCTGTGCTAACCAAAACAAAATTAATAATATATTATGACCAGTCAGAGCCACTTCTGCTCAAAAACCAAAACCTTAATTTCAAGCCAACTAAAAACTATATATACACAAATTAAAACAGATCAGTATTTGATGTAGACACTGACATGCTGAGAGAGAAAAATGTGACACAGATCAGCGTTTGATGTCAGCACCAGCACAATGAGAGACAGATGATGATGATGATCCCCATGTCCATTTCACTTCTAATTTCACAACTCTGTTACCTTAGCAACAGATAGAAGCTACCAATCTTTGTATATATGCAAATAAATTATACATTTATTTACCCCTACACAATATCCTGTTTTGTTTGATGCTTGGATTTGTTTGCTGAGGTGGAGAAGGAATTAACCTCTAACAAAAACAACAAGGTTTAGTCTCCAGGTTACCCATTTTCACCTGTGCAACATACTGAACACTTTATACTGGAATAGCAACATCGAAGCATTGAGGTTGGTCAGTTACAAGTGAACATCCACCAGAGACATGGCTGTCATGCTATTCAAACTGCCAGACATAGATAAATTTCCTTTTCATGTCTTTGTCAGATATGACAGACAGTCATTGACTCCATCAATAAAACCATTATTAATCTGAAGAAGTTCCTTCTAGAGATGAAACATTATGGAGTTTTTCCATTTTGACATTCAGTTACCTGCTATATATATAGATTTGTATGGTTAACAAACTTATAAATATTAAATAAGGACAAGTCCATTCCTATAAAAATAAGTAAGTTTTTCATACTAAAATGCATCAAAGAGAAAGTCATCCCACAAAGCACACTTAGAATGCTCAATCATCATATATTTCCAGCATATGTATATTAATTTATCTTGAATGACATGCTTAATGATTTTTTCTACTATTTTTCAGGAAACTTCATAATTCCAACCTCCTGCAATGTTTTTTTTTTTTGGTCTTTCTCAAAAAATAATTATTCTTACAGCTTTTCAGGACATTTTCCCTTGATATGAATCAGAATGATTGCATTGAGTTAACTACTAAATTTGCAGCTAAGAAAGTTGATTCACTGTGTTGTACTAGAATCTTTCTTGAACCTTTATAAGTCTACCATTCATCCATGCATTGATTATGGTTCCTAGATCTGGACTGGTGCTTCTGTTCTTATCTCAAGATTCTTGACAAAATCCAAAGAAAAATCTAAAATATTATTGGTCCCAACCTTGCATCTAAGCCTCAATCACTTCCTTACTACTATAACGTAATTTCTTTGTACCTTTTCTATAAATATTTTTGTGGGAATTGTTATGATGAGCTTTCTTCTTGGATACTTCAATTTCATGAATTTAAGCATAGTACTAGATTGTCAGTTAGGTCTCATCATGTTACTATTGAAATTGCTGTAACTTCTATTCTAAGTTTTTCTTCTATTGCACTTCTTGTCCATGGAACTCTCTTCCAGTTTGTCAACTACAATGTACAAAAATTTAAATGCAATGTCAATAGTCATCTTCTGTTTTCTTGAATCCTGTTCTTTTTATTGCCCTTACTTTTCTGTAACATTGTTTTTCATCCTCAGTAACCCCTTGCATCTTAGTAGCTTTATTGCCTTACTTGTGGTGAAATTATTTTTCAAAAATTAATTTTTTTCATTAGAAATTATAAAAAAACAGCAACAGCATAAATGGTCCTCCACAGGTGAATGGAAACTCCCCAGTCAAGCTGAAACGATTTTTTTCTTGATGACCAAAGAAAATAAAGTAATTATTCTTGCTGAAATATTGTATCATGTCTCCAGACTAATTCTAGATGCTTTTCAAAAATTACATTCTTCAATGGGTTTAACTGAGATCAGTACTGTTTCAACTCACAGTAGAGGACTCCCTCTCAATCCTACAATATACACAGCATGACCAGCTTTGGATGAAGACCTGCCTTTGTAAGAGTAGAAACTCATTTTACTTGCTCTATGGTTTCTTGCATTCCTTATTGTTTTAAAGTATCCACTTTTCATTACAAATCATAATATGTTTAGAAAATAGAACATTTAAATATAGTCCAATATGTTTTTTAAAAAAAACTTATGTGGAAGCTAACATAAACAACTACTATAACCAGGATTGTAAAATTATTTTCAATGTTTGATTTAGATACTTTGATGATGTTGGCTATCTCTCACATTATCTAACACTGATTATTCTAAAATTATATGTTTTTATTTTTTATTCTAATACAATTCACCTGGTCTACACAATCATGAAGTAAAATTCAGTGAAAAATCTTCAGCATTTTGTAAAATTCATATAGCTAAAACCTGGGCTGAATAAAATGAATGTAATCTGGAAATCAGATCTACCAGACAACCTCAAGTGGAGATTCTTTTGAGTGACTGTAGAGGGAGTGTTAATGTATGCTGCCACTATTTGGATATTATCTAAAACCCTACAGTCTAAGCTTTATGGAATCTATACTTGGATGTTGAGAGCTATACTTAATATCTGGAGCATCCAAATACAATTACAAATTACAATTCTATGGACCCATCCCTGATATTTCTACAATCTTATGTGAATGCAGAATGCTCTTTGCAGGACACTGTTGGTGTGCAAAACAAGAACTCACTAGTGATCTACTGCTCTGGACACCTAGCAATAAAGTAAGACATGTTGGTCGTCCAGCAACCACCTTCTTTGACTAGCTAAATTATGACACAGAATGCCTCCATAATAATTTTCTGACCTTGATGCAGGACTGTGATGGTTGGTGTGATAGACTCATGGATATCCGAGTGTACTTGACCAAATAAATGCGCAACCTGTATTTGACTATAATTTGGCACAGGCACTGCTGACAATTAAGGTTTATTGTTTTAGTTTTTTAAGTTAATTAATTGTAAAGTGTCAACTATTTTCAGGTTTAACTGGCTGCAATTTAAGTATGTAAGTCACTTGCTGGTTTCAAAAGTCACTGCTGATCTCATCTGACAAGAACAAATGATGTTAAAAAGTCAGAAATAGTCAAACTCAATCAAAATGTTATCAAGTCTTATAAATGTCCCTTTTGGAGCATAAGGCCACAGCTTCACTACACTAAGTGTTGCTGCAGTGGTTTCTGCAGCAAGTAGGATATTTGCAGGTTGGAGTTGCTAGCCCCACACTCAAAAAGTTTTGAATTCAGAGTTGTCCATCTCCTAGACTGGTTGCCAACCAAGACTACATAACTCCATCTGCCCTGCTGTTATCCTCTGAGTTGGAGGGAGAAGAGACAGATTCATACCTTTACAAGGGTAACTGTGTGAAAGTGAATGCAACTGACCTGGGCTGGAATTTGATGTTGTTATGCAAATCTTACTTTTCATGTCAATAACAACTATGCTATGCACATATCTATGTTATATTTTTACTCTTTTTAAAATAAAAATGTTGTATTTTTACCTTTCTTAAAACAAAAAAAGATAATAAAAAATATTTTTTTTCTTCACTATTCAATATTTGAGATCAATAAACCTGAATATGGAAAATTTGAGAATTTTTTTTAAAAAGTTCATAAAGCAGCTAACAAAGTACAGTCAAAAGTGATCTTTTTTAAGTGAACTTAGTTATAACTAAATCCTACTAATGCTATCTAATAGTAAAAAACAGAAACCTTTTGGTCAATCCAACAGTTATTATTGCTGATGGCTAAACTCCAGGAGAGCAACATACTATGCCTTCTTGAACTCATGTTTTCCACTGATAAAAAGTGAAACAACTCTATTGAAACAATTTCTCTGTCTACTGCAAGGAAAGTTGAGTCACTGTGTTGTGCCAAAAAATTATTCTTGTCAGAATCCTTCTTGCACATTTATAAATCTTCCATTTGCTCTTGTATTGAATATTGCTGCCATAATATGGTCTGGTGTTTCTGATGTTTAGAGATTCTTGACAAAATCCAAAGAAGGGTCTGTAATGTAATTGATATTGACCAGGCATTTCATCTCAAGTTACTTTTACAATGACATGATGTGGCTTCCCTCTGTCTTTTCTACAAATATTTTTATAGCAACTGTTCTGATGAGCTTTTTCCCTAGTGCTGCGACTACATGAATTTAAGCATCCTACTTGATTGGCAACTAGGTCTCACCATTTTACTGTTGAACTAGCTAGATGTAACTGCTACTTCTACTCTAACAAGTTCTTTTCTCACACTTCCCACCTGTAGAACTCCTTTCAAATTTCTTGCTTCTAATGATAACTGCAATCTTCCAAAATCTTAATACAATGTCAATTGCCATTTTCTATTTTCTTGGACCCAGTTTCTTTTTTGTTCTTTCATCAATCCTTCCCATTCTCAGTCTTCTCCTTCTCTTTCACTCCCTGGATTCAATCAATTAAAAGAAATAGCATCTGCCATGACTTTATTTTGAATGTTCAAAATAAGAAGTCTGTTTAAGAAAAACCAAACACAAATTGGTGCTTAATACAGAAAAGCCTGTTCCTTATGACTTGTCTCTAGGAATTATAATATCTTGGCCCTCCATCCTTTTTATCCTTGAACCTAATTCCCATTAGTGTCAACAATATTCTGGATAATCATATTCCAATGAGATCATCTATAGTTGCTGAAATTTATTATGTTTTGTTTTGCACACACAGTATCCACACTTCACATCTGTTATAGTTCTCTGGCTTTTGCTGAGAAGGTTGAAAATAATATTAAACTTAAACCTCAGAGAGCTAACCACCCATATAGTACTTCTTTAGGAGGGGGCAGAAGTCATTAAACGATGCCTGAGGCATCCCCAAAAGGTGAAATGCTGAGGGGGCTTGAGCAATTTTTCATACAGTATTACCAGTAAACCCACTTTACACCTCAACTGTGTGTCACATTTGGTAGCAACATGGTCATGCTGGAAAATCAACTCATGTCTCACCATTTATGTAGAACATCAGGTGGCTGGGTTTTGAATTCAGAGTTTTCCTTTTTGTAGAGTAACATTCAGCATACTTCTGTTCCTTACTACTGTGACAATAGACTGTTCCTACTTATAGATATGACAAGTAGTCACATTAGAGTAGGATTAGAGGAGTATCTATTTTTTCCATTCTGTCTATGGCTATTTAATAAACCTCTTCTTTGTTTTCCATACCTAGTTGTCTGTTCCTTCGATACTCTCTCCAACTACGGTCTTCCTAATTCACAGTTATTTTGATCAAAGACAACATTACAATGTACTTTTAGAATGGTTACCAACCGCAGCTAGAAAACCAAATCTGCCCTGCTATTTGGTCAAAGGGGGATGAATTTATATCTTTCCCAAGGTTATTTATGTGAGAATGAGTGCAAACAATTCAACTGGAATTTGAACTTGCCTCACCGATTTTTTATTCTCAATCTGCTAACCATTACTCTACCTGTACATCCAAATCAAAAGATGAAACAGTAACATTATGCATTTAAATTTCATGATGTAATAATTGCCTTTTAATATCAATGGATAGAAACTGTATTTAATTAATGATTACTGTTTAAGTAATTGAAAATTGCTGCCAGGTAATAACAATTACAAATGCACAGCCCTGTGTCCGATGTAGTGAAGCTTTGTTGTTTTATGATTAGTTTTGTCATGACGATACTATGTTCATTCAAGCATGGTATGAGAAATTGAATGGGATTTGACCAGTTGGTAGTGTATGAATGATGTTATTGTCACAGTTTTCTCTGAAAAAGTTTTGGCAATCTAATGGACTGTCTGGAATAGTTAATGTCTTTCTGAGTCGATTTTTTTTTTTTTTTTTTATAGAAATGCTGTACACCCCCATCTCTGATCTTCATATTGATGATTCATTGGTCGATTAAACAAAATCTCTTTTGGGAATTAATTAAATTGAATTAATTAAATTTAGTTTCACATGAAAAGCAAACAATTTTGTAATTAGTGAAACAGACATGGGCCAAGTGGGGGTGTTTTTGATTGATTTTGGTTTGTTTCTTTTAAGAGATTTTTTTTTTTTTAATGAAAGAGAAAATGTGGAGTTTATTGTTTTGATTATCTCTGGTTGTTTTTCTGTACTAATTTTGTTACAGAAAATAAATCCTTATTTCCGAAAAATTAAAGAATTTGCATTTTTGATTTTCATATTTGGATTAAGTGTGTCAGGTTGGAATTGGGTTGAAGAGGAAAAGACGAAAATAGATTGATAGAAGGAGAGGGTGTGAAGAAGGAAAAGAAAAAAAAAGGAAGTAGAAATGTATACAGTGTAGTCAATAAAAAAAGAGAGAAAACATGGTCAAAAGTGAAGAATAAAAAGCAGATATTGTCACCCAAAAATGAAGCAGAGAAAGAACGGTCAAAGGCAGTAATGAAATAAGTATGAAAACTCAGAAATTAGGTGGAGAGAATAATGCTGTGAGGTGAAAGAGAAAGGAAACTAAAGGAACTCCTACAAAAGTAGTAAAGGAAAGCAAGAAGAAAGGACTAAACATCAAATGTAAGAAGATAGAATGCATGGTTGTCAGCAAAAGAAACAGTGTGACATACCAAAATCAATCAAGTACAAAAATTTAAATGGTTTAACAGAGGATATCAATACAACATCGAAATCCAAAGGTACATAAGAATAGTGAATTATGTGTTCCAGAAGCTAAAAAAAGTATCAAGAAACAGGAAAATTACATTCTAAACAAAGAAAAGAGTATTGAATTTTTGTGTAATATTGGTCCTCTAATATGAAAGTGAATGCTGGAAAATCTCTTCATAGATGAAGAAGAGACTTGAGGGAACAGAAGTGTGGTTCAACAGAAGGATGCTGAGAATATCATGGACTGAACATGTGAATAACAAGGAAGTTTTTAGAAAAAAATGGAAGAAAAAGGAGACTTGTATAGTTGAAATTTCTAGAGCATACAATAAAGGAAGAAGGCTTGGAAAATTTGAGACTCTGGACATATTGAAGGTAAGAGGGATTGAGGAAAACAGAGAATAACCTGCTGAACAAGATCTTGCAAATGGAGGGTGAAACAGGATTTAGGAGAGATAGCAAAAAGACAAAGTTTGCTAAAGGCTACAGAGGAAATTGTGGAGAGTCATGATCAGCCATGTCCTGAAAGGACACAACATAAAAAAAAGCAGAGAGAGAGAGAGAGATAATGGTGAAGCAGGAGAATAGGGAGAAGCTTAAAGATAGAGGAGAACCAAATATAGAAAGAGGAGTAAAAGAAAGAGTAAAACTAAATGATGAAAAGATGATTGGATAGTGAGATGAAGATAAAAAAAAAGAGACATGAAAAAGAGAAGGAAAGAAAGAGAGGTGAAAAATAAAGATAAAGATAGAGGAATTTGAAGAAAGGGAAACAAAAAGAAAAGTCACTAGAAAAGAAGGGATAGTAAGAGGTACACATTACATAGAATAAGAGGGTAGGAGAAGAAAATAATGAGGAGAGGTTGTGGAGACACAAACCTAATCAAACAGGAAGTTAATGCATCAAAGTCAAAACTGTGAATGACGAATATATGTCCGTATACAGGTGGGCTTGGTGCAGAACTTCCATTTCTTTCAAATTAAAAGATAAGAAATTCAGACTGCATATTTTAACCAATCAGAGAACTGCTCACCTAAAAGATTGGGCAGCTGTATATTATTTTTATAAAAATTTATTGCTGATAATCTTTTTACTATAAAACTGTATTGTTGGCATTTTTACTATAAAAATGTATTTTTATACTTTTATATTGTTTTGACTTTGGTTTGGGGATTAACTATTTGCCCACAGTTGGGACCCAAACAGATGCTACCACCCTGGGTAACAATTAAGAGGTGGTTCCAAACTTCTCTGAATTTCAGAGATCTTGATGCTGAATATAGTTTATCATCACCAGGACACCACTTGTTTCAACAAAGTGTATATAAAGGAAAGCAAAATTAGGTTCATGGTTCTTTTTGAAAGCCATGTTGGTTATTTCTTTGATACATTTTTAAGTACCCAAAAGGTAGGACTTGGTTTTTTTCTCAACTGATAGAAACATTCATTTCTCTCATACACACAACTACAGAAATAATATACACTACTTTTCTTTCACATAAACATTCAATATAAAAACATACATGAATTAATCTGATATTTCTTATGAACACTTGTACAGAAACTTTTGAACACAAGGAACTTTACTCACTCACCAAAATTGTTGTAAATTGTTACTATATAAAATCATTGTTATTGAATGTTATTTCCATTCTCTGTGCTCTTTTAAATCTCTTTGTTGCAGAATTATCACAGAGGCTGTAGATCTGCAACAAGGTAAAGAAGGAAAATAGCAGAATGAAAAAGCTGGAGACTGTGTAAAATAGACAGTTGCAGGAGAGTTACAGCAATAGAAAAATATATGAAATAAAGAGGGAGAGAGAGAGAAAGCAGACAGAGACAAAGAAAGTCTTCCATAACTAAGGTCCTTAAAAAGGCATGAATCCTCCTCCCCTCAGATTTGAGTTAAATACAATGGTCCTCAAACTTTTCTGACTCATGATGCACTTGAAATCATATAATCATTTGTATAGTTTTTATTATGTAAATGTTATTTTTGGTGGATACCCATATTTAAGTAGACGCTCTGTTTATTTATTAAACAGTATATTTATTTATTTTCATCTACCGACCTGAATATTTGAGAAATCTTATTAAAAAAAATATGCAGGATTTGAACCTGCATTCCCCTAGGCAGATGAAACTATTATTAGATCTGATGTACTTTAGACCCCTTGGCCACAAAGTGCATCAATGATCAAGCAAAGTTGATTAGTGCCTAAAAATCTTTTCAGTTATATCTTAGTATTTAACCCATAGCTGGGGAGAGGGGATATATTTATACCTTTCCTAAGGGTATTTGGGCATATAATGAACATGACTGGAATTCAAACTTGGCTCTGATTTCTCATTCTGAGCTGCAAGAATGGTATAACCTTTAACTGTAAGAAGATAGAATAAATGGTTGTGAGCAAAAGAGACAGCTCAAGGTGTAAGTTACATATTGGGGATGTGAAAATATAGGAAAATAAACAAGATATTAAAGGATGAAAATATGGCCTTTGAGGCAAAAAAAGAGTGTTGGAATACTCTTTTGTTTCTAATCTCCTGTATGACAGTTTCCTCACAGATGAAGAAAATACATCAAGTGACAAAGATATTGTTCTTTCAATAAATGTTGAAAACATCATGAACTGTGCAAAAAAACAAGGCTAAGCTAAGAAAAATAATAATAAAAAGACAACTGGAATTTTTGAGACACATAATGAGAAAAGAGAGCTTGGAAAATTTGACACTTACAAGACACACTGAAGGCAAGAAATGTGAGTAAACGTGTTAGTAGATTGACTGAGTTGTTTTTTTTATAGCTTATCAATCCTTTGTGAGTTATTTCAAGCTGAAACATATTTTGGATTGCAGAAAGTTCCTTATAGTACCTAGCATTCCCAAGTAGTCCCCCATCAAAGTAACGACTGCACTTGACATTGCTTAACTACAATGTAAATGAAGACTGGAAACAACTGCTAGAACAACTCTAGTAATGTTCAACTGTAATAATGAAAGATGAAACTGCAACACTGAAAGGTAATTTGATTTGTTTAATGGCATATCAATTCTTCATAGGTCGTCTAAAAGGTGATGTTGATTTTGACGAGGGTAAAATATATGCATTTTTGAGAATGATAGAGATTGAGAAAAATTTCAAAGTTTTTGGCCATCATGTGATGTAGCAACATTTTTATAGGTGCAGCCATGTGTCTGAGCATGCTGCAATAAGGTTTTGTATAATGAAAGAGTTCAGTGGAAACAGGTGTGTTGTCTCACAGATGCATATGCACTTGCATTGTTGTTAGAGGCATTTGGGAGGGGTTAGATCAAGGCCACCAAAAGGCTGAATGGTCATCTGAGATAACTGCAACATCTACATTGAATCAATAGCTGCATCTAGTGCAAGGAAAGTTGGTTCTCTGTGTCATGCCAGAAGGTTTGTCTCATCTGAATCCATCCTTCACATCTACAAATCTACCATTCATCCATGCATGGAATATTGTTGTCATATATGGTCTGGTGCCCCTGCTGTTCCTTTCCAAGTTCTCAACAAAATCCAAAGACGGATATACAATGTGATCAGTCCTGACTTGGTAGCTCGACTGCAGTTATTTTCCCATCAACGTAATGTGGCTTCCTTCTGGTTTTTCTATAAATATTTCCATGGCAACTGCTCTGATGCGCTATTTTCACTGGTGACCCAGCTGCATGAATTTAAGCGTAATACAAGGTTGGCATCTTGGTCCCACCCTTTTACTGTCAAAACAGTTAAATGTAATCGTCTCTTCTACTCCAGCAGGTTCTTCTCTCCCACCTCCTGACAGTGGAGCTCCATTCCTCTTACTTACCCTGATAACTATAATCTTCAAAAATTTAAAGGTAATGTCAATCAACATCTTCTGATGCCTTCTTGATCCCTGTTCTTGATCCCTGTTCTTTTGATTCTTCTCCATTCTTCATTTTTATCCTTTCCTCAATCTCCTCCTTACCAAGTCTTTTCCCTTACTTTCGCCCACTGTAACCCCTTGTGTACAACTGGCACTCTTGCTTTGCTTGGGGTGAAATCTTTAAAAAAAACAATGTACTGGATATAATGCAACAACTTTTATTTGGCCACATAGTACAGCTGCTCACCAAAAACAATGTATTGTAAGAACATCAGTGGCAGAATGCATAGTGCTCACATTACAGATCAGAGCAAATGTGGCTAAAGGAGTATTATCACAGAGCTCATCTAACCAAACTTCCACTAATGCCATAGCATCATTGTATACATCTCCACAGATATCACAGAGACGATGTCTTGGATAATTGAATGACATTGCCATTTTTAGTGAGGAGAGCAGTTTCTGTCTTCATGCTAATAATGATCAAATAGTTGGTCAGTCTGGACTTTCTAGCTGTGGTTGTAGAAGGACAACTCTGGTTCATGTGGTAATTAAACAAGGAATAAACCTTAATTCTCACTTTATTGCAGGTTTCATAAAACTCAATTCAGGGACAGGAAAGCTTTTGTTATAGTTCACTTTCCTCCTTTTTTCTTGTGGATGTTTAAATCTGAACTTAAACTTTGGTAGGGAGATAATTCTCTAGTTAACAGAGAATTATCACACCTCAGGCAACTGGTTTTGTAGCTCTGCTGAGGTACATAGAATACATTCATTGAAAAGATTATGGAGTTTATAATTAACCAATGTATGAGGCTCTGGGCTCTATGATTTCAGCTAAGGTTGAAAAAAAAGTGATGAGCATTTGTGCATGCAACAAAGACAGAGGAAGTGACTGTTACCAGAGTGTATTTACACATGACACAAATTCAATCCCTGGCATCATGGACTGTTTGACCACACTAAATGTAATGGGATTGGTTTAGCTAATAGGTAATTAGAATAAAGAGAGCTATAACTATAGCTCATGGGCAACTTTAAGTCAATGTACATAGAATATCTATGGCTACTAAGTTCAATCATCATAGCAAAATGGCATCACCTGATGGAGCTCTGTTGAACACAAAAGAACCTGAAAACAAAGATTTGGATAAAATACTTTGAGGCACATGCTAGAATTAAGAAGTATCAAGATGGCCAAACAGCTGAAGGGCAGAAAAAAATCATGGATTTATTTTTGGCCACTGCGGAATGTAAAGCCATTAGGCAGATTTCATTAATGACTTACCCAGCTGAAATTAAAAATTTGAGATTTAAGGAAGTCAAAAAAAAAATATGGAGAAATATACAACCAAAGAAAAGATTGGTCATAGCTGAACAAAACAAATTCTTAGCATTGAAACAAGAAGTTTGGGAGCCTATAAGGAAATATCTAAAAAGGTTAAGAGATACCAGTAGATAATGTGAATTTCATGAACTAGGACAACAAGGTATAAGCACAGAGGCAGAATTAAGTCAACCCTGATTAGTAGAAGGACTGTACAACACCTGTCATGGGGGAAAAATTTTAGAGTGGTTAACTGAAAAATTTAATACAAATGAAAACCAACCTGAGCTTATGGACACATGCGATAAAAAGAACAATGATAAAATGCAGATATTGCAACTATAAACATGAATCAAAGAGAGAGAATTTTCCAGCATGGAGACAGACATGTAATAAGTGTAAAAAGAAAAATCACTTTCAAGTTGTATGTAGATTGCGAGATGCCAATGTAAGAACTGTTGAAATAATACATGACAATGTAAAAAGTCAAACAAACATTTTTCAATAGAAAAGAGAAACAAAAAGATTGCTTTCACATAAATTAAATTAAACAGTGTACACTTAAAATTTCCACTTGACACTGGTAGGGAAGTGACCCTTATTCCAAAGAATTTTGGGGGACAATTATTGAAACCAAAATTAAAGAAAAGGTTAGTAAGATTAAGACAATTTGATGGAATGTATATAAAAATATTAGGGTCCATTGAAGGTAATCTGGAAACAAAAAATAGATTTGAAACTGTCACTATTATGGTCAGAGACTGTATAAAATGTCACAGTTTAGTAGGAACTGATTTGATTAATATTAATAGCATATGTTTACCTAATGCTATGAATATGGGAAGTCCTGAAACTGGGACATTAAAAAACTATAAAGCGAGTTTTAAGTTAAAAAGAAATATCAATTCATCACATTTTGAAAGCCATAGGCTTCCCATTCATATAAAGCCAATGGTAGTTGATAAGTTGTGAAAAATGGTGGAAGAAGGCATTCATCAATATGTAGAACCTAGAAGCAGAAAATGGTCATTGCCTATTGTGGTTTAACAAAAATCTGATGGTGATTTTAGAATTTGCAGAGATTACAAAGTAGGTGTAAATCCTAAGATTTGTTCAGATTCCTACCCTATTTCAAGCATAGAAAACATGCTATATTCTCTTGTAAGAATGAAATATTTTATGAAAATTGATTTAAAAAATGCATAGCCCCAAATTCAAATAGATGATGAATTTGAAGAAATTACAAAAATAAACTCCCCCATAGGTTTACTTAGAAGTTTTGCTTACCATTTGGAATTAAGACAGCCAACTTGATTTTTCAAAAAGCTATGGAAAATTTGTTAGTGGGGAGAATAGAAAATATGGCAATTTATCAAGACAATATATGTTTAGGTTCGGCTACTGAAGAAGAACTGAAACAAAAAACTAAATTTGTAATGAGTTGAGGAAGGCAGGAATAATGATAAATGAAAATAAGTGTATATTTAATTGCAAAGAATTAACAATCTTGGGTTGCCCAATTTCAGAAAATGGTACTTTGCCAAACCTAATGTTAATACAAAAAATATTAAATATTTCTTCTCCAAAAGAAAGAATTGGAATCATATCTCGGATTAGCTAATTTTTATAGCATATTCTTGTCAAAATATTCTGAA